CCGGGATTTTCCCCCCACCCAGTCTCCGGTCTCTTATAACCGGAAAATAAAGTGCCCGGCGAATGGGACCGTCGGCTGCCGGTTTTCGATTAATTTTGATTATTAACATCCAGACGTTTGAGTTTTGTCCTGTACGTAGATCTGTTGTTGTTTTCCGGTGTACAGTAGCTGTATAATTTTTTTTTTACCTATAGATAAAAGTTTTGCAGTGTGAATAAGAATGTTTACCATTGGGTAAAAGAACAACAGCAGAAGCTCTACTGTAAACGTCACTTAGAATACAGATGACATAAATATTCATACAACTTTAAACGGAACATTCCCCCAATAGGATCGGACATTAAGAAAACTGTAATGAATCGGACATTTAAATGTTAAATTAAGAGATGATTCTAAATCTCTACATATACCCAGGATTTAACAGAACTCAAATATCGACCAAGTTAGCCTCATGTAAAAAGTACTGTACAGTTGCATGTGCACAAAGAAGGAATTTCTGAAAGCAAAGCGAGATAAAAAAGAGTGGGTCATCTAAGTTAGCTCATTCTGATGTCTGTTCCGCTCAGGGAGACCATACAATACTAACTAAATAAGAAAAAAGAATTTTAGAGAAAGTACTGGATTATGTTTTGCAGAAGAGGACTTTGGAGTGATAATGTATATTTAAAAACCAATGCAAGCAACACTTGTTGGACTGACATGTTGAACTGACTTTGTCCTTCTTCAAGTCAAAACATTGTATCAAAACCCAAAAGGTGTGCCTTAAAATGCATTCTGCAAACGTGTTTGTAAATATATTAAAGACCCATTTTGCCTCAGAAATAATACTTTTATAATTTTATTTCTCAAAACCTTTTTTACTTTGGTGTACTTTTATAGTATCCGAAAAGTTAATTTCTCATTGCTCGATTCCCTGAACCATCTTTTTCATATGTTGCCTTTTGGTAATAGGTAAGGATATAGTGAATAAGTATTATGACATTTATTATTTCACATTGATCGCTATTATTTTCTGGTAACAAGCCTCCAACATTCTCTGAAGCAATTATTTAAACATGACAAAATTCATGTTTGCCCTTTCTAAAGAAGTAAAAATTTATTTTATACTCAACATAAAGATTAATAATTACTGATATGGAAACTCATTTATGCTTACTGGCTATTTACAACAAGTCATTTCTCAGTGAATTTTATAAAGTTAAAACCATTCATATAATTATTATGATGTTCACAACAAAATGTACTCGAAAAGTCATTTTTCATTAAAAGGTTCAGCAAAAGTCCAGGAAAGGATTTTGATAAATCAAGGTCAGTAAAATGTTTTTGTTTTCTTGTCTCCAACGATCTTCGTCTGCTGCAGATCACTTTCACTGGTATGTAAACACTTCTATACTGCTGAAAGTTATAATGTGTAATTATCATATAGCTCCTCCCGTGGAAATAAAAAGTTCAAATTTGACGGCCGGTTTATTAAAATAAATGTTTATGACTACATGGATGACAAGTTTGATTTTATAAATGATAATTTCTGATAATTTATCTAAAATGTTTGGGAAAAAGTCTATGAAGTGAAGCATGCTTAAAATTAATAAGATCCCTCCACTAGCGACATCTGCTGGTTTATAGGTCAGTTAGGCATTTAAGCACCTCAACTTCATGATGCCACCAGATTCATGCTGATTTTCATGAAAATTATGAAAATGGTATGTAAAGAAAAATATTGTAGAGTAAACAAAGGAAGTAATTTACACATTGCAAACGGCACTTACAATCCACTTCAATTCTCCCAAAAAGAGGTCAAAATACATGCATGCTAAATAGCATTTACTGCGTTTGCCAACGCAGTAGAAATGTGGTGATATAGATAGCAAAATCAATCATCATTACTTTCTTCTTGAATCTTTTTACTTAAGTACAATTGTCTCAAGTTTGATGTGCTTAAAATATTTTGGCTAATCTCATTTAGAATGCGTGTAAGTATATATCTGATTAAACACTTACACGTGAATGTATTTTTGTCATATATTTATGAATTTAAACATAAATCAAATGCCTTTTTACAATAATTTCCTTTCTGATTCAAAATATTTACATTTGTAGATTTTAATAATTCAGTTAATCTTAAAAATATTTAGTTACTTTGGAGAGTATATTAATATCACATTAGTTTAAACTGAAGTTGTCGACCTACTTATTTCTTGCCCTCTTTATTTTATAGTAAATCAGCCACTTTTGGGGTTTACCAGAACGTACAGGAACATAGTATACTACTTATGTCATATTTTTATGGAAATTTTATTTGAATGTTTATTTCTTCATCATTTTTATTTATATTCTGTCTATTTTCTAATGTAACAACTTCTAGTAGGAGTACACTTTTGCCAAAAATAACATGATAATTATTATCATTGCTCTTTCAATAGCTGACATGACCAAAAGGAAATGACATAAGATTTAACATGCATTGAAGCCTGTAGATTTTAACGCTCTTTCATTTGGGAGTTTATTTCTTCATCATTTATTATTTATATTCTGTACATTTTTTATTATTTATTATAACAACTTATATAGGAGTAAACTTTCGACATCTATCACAACTGCTCAATTAATATTTGACATGACCAAAAAGAGATGACATAAATTTAAACATGGACGAAGCCTATAGATGTTCAAATATTTAGAGTGTTTTTTTCTCGGGGGTTGTTGTTTTTGTTTGTTTGTTGTTTTGTTGTTGTTTTTTTTTAAGAAAAAAATTGCCTGTAATTTGGTATTGAGAACAAAAATGACACAAATGAAAATATATTTCCACATATGCGTTTTATGTATAATGGCATCGTCGAACATTTATTGCTGGTAATGTAGCGTCAACTGAGCTCTTTGTACTACAAAATAATTTGAAAATACTTAAGTTGGGGGTTGGGATCCGGGATCCGGAATTGTATTAGATATATATAAAATTTGGGAATTGACCATCTATCACTTCTCTCTTCCCCGTCGTTGAGAAGCCATAGGGCATTGGCAAGTGATTATACCAGGTACTCTATGGCACTTAAGGCGGTAAGATGTCATGCGCTCTACCGATGGGGCACGGCTGAGACATTATGAGATTATGGTGTCCTGACTAAAGTCGTGGGGAGTGGCCCTACAAAGTAGACAGAGTCGACGAGGATTGTGTACTAGGGTGCATGAGTCCCTAGTACGAGTGCAGCTTGAAAGGCAGACCCTTTGCTTGGCACCAACAGCCCTATTAAGATATCGAGCTACCTGCCTTTCTTATTGTCTCAGATTACTGTACATTAAGGTCCTCATTGACCGCCGTAAGGTGACCTACTTTTGGCTCAAATTTCATATCACTTTGTGGAAATTGCATGGAGGTAAATTATCACAACTTTGTGATAAAAAATTAACTCTTTACGATCATGATTGGTGACATGTCAGGGACTCGACAGCGATATAGACTACCTACCCTACCTGGCCGTTTGCCATAGGTGTCATTGATAAACTATCGATTAGATCTAGCCACAGATGTGTTGTATTATACATGTATAAGATTTAAAAAGCGAAATTATTATAATTATAAACTTGTATAGTATACTTTTTTAAACATAGTTTTTTTTGTTTGATGGTTTCAATATACATTTATTTACAATAAGGTACCTGTTAAATAGCTACTAATATATGTACTAAATTCTAAAGTATTACCAAAAAAACTTAAGCTAATTTAAATTGTGTATTAACAAAAACTTTGATTTTTTTTTAAATTTAGGCAAAGATCCTTCATAAATATTTTGCCTTTCAATGTTATTGATACATATGGGTATAGCTCAAAATATATTTCAATCTGAAGTTTATATCAATATACCGGTCATGACATAGGTTTAAAAAACAACAACAATGTTTTATTGCCTTTTATTAAGACAAATATCAACACAAATACATAGTTTATAGTGAGCTCGACGAGCTGGCCCGAAGGGCCTGCTCGCAAAGCGAGCTTTACGGTAACGCGAGTACCTGCTAAGTGATGGTTTTGAAAACTTTCGTCCAAAGTACCGAATTGGACACATCGCAACTTTTCGAATTTAAAGATAACGATAAAAACTGAGGAATTCTGACTGAAAACGGATGTGTAGACTGGTCACCCGCGCACGTCTATGGGAACCATAATTGGACAGGGAACCAGAACAACGGAAGCTGTGTATAAAATAACGAATGACAGTTTTAAAACGGAAAATGTAAAATGAAAATTGAAGGCGCCATTTTGTTTGAAAAATCTGATAAATAAAAACATTTTTTTGTCGAATTTTGTTGTGAAAACTATCTAGAATGAAAGAAAATGGTCTAACTAAGAAAATGAATCCGAACACCAATATCTTTTATTCAGTCGTTAACGCTGTACAGACGTTTAAAGTATTGTTTCGTGACGTCACAATGTAGCGCCAAACAGCACGTGCAAAACAATCATATCAAGTACGCTATTTTAATCGTATGTCGCAAACGTTTGAAATTTAACATTTATTTCACTTTTAATAATCTTTATTTCGCTTGAAAAAATCAAGAGTGAAATAAAATAAACAAACAAAGTTTTATCAACGTTTCCAAAACTCGTTATTCATTTAACGACAGGGGCGGAGCCAAATTTAACACAGTACGTGTGACGTCACACGCACTCGTCACTGCATTTGAAATAAAAATGAGCGATTATTTCATACTATTTCACGTTAAAAGTACATCGAGCTCGCTTTGAGGCTTTGCCTTTTTCATATTAAGTTCACCCTACTGTATCTATATTAGGATTCCGGATTCCGGGACTCCCCTACTGAAATGCATAATGAAATTTTCTTGGGATACTTATCCGTATTGATTTCAAATGCTTATTCGGTTAAAAAAACCTCTCAGGCTTCTTTTGATAGAAGCTTAATTGTCTATTACCGCTCTGGACAATGTGGAGGGAATAGATTTAGTGACGCTCAACCTACACGCCTTTTGGTTCTTACTAGACGTTTGCATTTGTATGCAAGCGTTTTTGTGACGTTCTGCATAATTAACCGACCCCAACAGCGATCAAAACAAAGTTAGCATAATTTAAAATTATAAATGATTGAAAGCACTATTATGCCTGTTTCTTTGTAACACAAATTTAAATCCTGCGATTTGTGAGAGGTAAAAAATCAGTTAACAATGAAGTTTATATGAAAGAAAAAATACTTTTCTTTAAATCGTTTCCCATAGTACACCGCGATTTTGCCGCCATCTTGTTTATTTTCCTTCATTGCTGCCAGCATTAGTCTTTGATTTTTCCTGTTCTGAAATACCCCTGACAAGGGGTTTAGCCTGCAGACATTGGGCGAATTGCTAGTAAGCACGTGAAAGTGACCGTCACCGAAAAGGGTCAAGCCACGCCAGAGCGGGATCGCCAGCGCACGGTCACTGTAAAAAGTGTTCATAACAGCATGAATCATGTAAATGGAAAGGAAGAAGAGGCTATGGAAATATCTAGTACTGGTAATTATTGAAAATGTGCAAATAGTTGCTTTAGTCATTATGTATTTATATGAACACATTGTTTGTTAAAGAATGTAAATAACATATGGTCAACAACTATGGTATAAAATGCGACCTCAACTCCAGTAAAGTAAAGTAAAGTAAAGATTGTACGTGTATGTTACCAGAAGTCTGTTAGTGTTAAGTGTTATCCTCATTGATTGCAGTAGTAACTAAGGCTTTTAGCCAATAAGGAAAAACAAAGAATGAACTAACAATATTAAAAGTTGTTACCAGCTGTAACTTTCATGTGTTTCTGTTATCACATAACTGTTTGATCATTGATGAATATTGAGAAGTTTTAAAAATGAGATACAGTTGTTTAGGCAGTAGCGGATTTAAGGGTATACATAGCATATAGCTTGTCAGTTAAATTGCTCTTTCTGATCTACAGTGTCTTTTTAAATATTAAACAACTATACTAAATGAAAGAGTGATATTTTCTCCTACAGTTAATTTAGTTAATCTTGTTTTTTAAAATTCTTTGCTCCGGCCCCCTGAACTCGCGGCCAAGGATTTGCTTTGGACCCACCAGGGGCCCTGCAGCCCCCCTGGCCCCCTGCTTAAATTTTCAGTATTTCAAAAATTCTGAACTTTCACCCATGCACATGTCACTTTTTATCAGCGAGATAGCAGGGCTTAGGGTTCTTGTGCAATTTTCCCAGGTTTCCGCAGTAATTTGCAAATTCCACAAGTGGCAAAAAAATATTTGGATGTATTCTTTTCCACACAATTGAACGTAGAACAACCAAAATTGTGGATATTTCTGCAGTAAACAGTTTCACTTGTCACATATTTTAGTGACTCTGATTTTTCATTAATGTTAAAAATGAATAGAAGCTATGTTCTGTTTTAAAATCTTGAGTATAAAGACAGAAAAGTATAAGTTCTTTGGTGATAATGCCATTTTTCAGTAAGTGATTCAGAAAAAGGGCTGCATTATGTGAATGTCTGCAAGATTAATTTCTATAGTATATGCTAATATGACATACCCCTGTTCTGTGTGAAATGTGGAAATTGACAGTGGTTATAACTGACACAAATTGAAAAGAATCTGGTAACTGTCAGTGGAAAATGTGGTAAGCATCTTCACTAGGAAATCCTTATACAAACACAACCAAACATGGATTTCTTGTAGATAAAAAGAAAAGAACAATGTAAGTTTGCATGTCCATATTGATGATATACAAGATGCTTGACCGAGATTAGAATATTGCAATTATACTCATTGATAATGTATTTATGTAAGAAAAAAGTGGAGTAATCAATGTACATGTATCTGTTTATTTGGGTATCCTCATTTCTTATAATTTTAAGAGTGTGCGCTGATTAAGATAGATCAGTTGTTATTTGTTGATATGATGTACATGTATGCAGATCAGGGCTTCCACTAGGAATTTTTTTTAGGAAGTCAGGACTTCCTTTCAAGGAATTTTGGAAGTCATGAGGTAAATTTCTGGAAGTCAGTTGTTCTTACGCGTATAATTTTCATGTTTCAATGTTTGATTTATAGTATGAGATGATACAAGTAAAAGCAATTATTTTAATCACAAGATTCTGAAAATGTCATTCCTTTAAATGTTTTATTATACATATTTAAAAAGTTCAAAGTATCTTTACATGATTGTTGATATTTTCAATAGAAGTAAGAATATTACCCTGAAAAGGACTGTATTGTTGTTATTTAAGGACAGTGGTAACCGTGTAGAACCCTTCAGTGATAACATTCAAATAATTGCTCATTGGTATAACAGAAAAAAATATATTTCCAGAAAACTTTTAATTCTTTAATGGGTAAAGTCAAAAATAATGAGGCCAAACATTTAAAGGCTACCAAGATTAATATTTAAATAGTTGTGTATATTGTTATAAGTGCTAAATATAGCATCTATCAGTGTTGTAAAATATGCCAAGTTTCAGGGACATCACGCTACAAGTGAAAAAGATACAAGAAAAACATTACCCTAAAATGTCAGGAGTGTAACACTTTTAGTGTGACATTTTACACAAATGATGATTCTCTATTCCTGATACAGAAAAACAGTTTCTTAAATGACAATTTTTGTCACTTATGTTATATATCTTATTCTCTCGCAATTGCTTTTTCCTTTTTTTTTGTAAAATGTAGGTATCCCACTTGGTTATCCAGTCACTAAAGTCAGTTGTTGTAAAATAAAATGTACTTTAAAAAAAGCATGGTTTGTACTAACAGTAAAGTTTCTGCTTATATCTTTGTTATTAAGAGCTTTTCCTTGCTTCTAACATTTTGACCATTGTATATAGTTAAGAATATAAATTCTCTTTTTTCTATGCTATAAATGTTATTGACTCGGTTTCGATTCAAAATAATGACAGTGCTCAGTGTCAGGAGTGTAACATCTTGTACTTTTACTGATTTCCTTATTGCATATAAGGTGTTATATTAATATATTCTTTCTTTTTCAAAAACATGAGTCCAAGTGATGTCAGCAGTGACATAAGTTCAAGTTAACTAAATCATGCACTTTCTGTACATGATCATCAGTGATGTCAGGAGTGTAACACTATTTTTGCCATCTTTTAACCTTGTAACGATTTCATGAATATACCATATAAATTTCGTATCTAAATATGATTCTTGCCACTATTCATAAGGAAAAGTAATTAAGTATTTTTTTTTTTTTTTTTTTTTAAGAAACCACAATGCTTAAGTTCTGTTTTTAGTATATTTACTTAAATAACATCAAAATTTCCTAAATGTCTACTATTGACAAGTATAATCATTGAAATTTAATGATAATACACTAAAGAAATTACTGAGAAATTAAAATCATGTATATACTCTTTGCAGAACAAAGCATTTATATACAATTATTGAAGATTAAGTATGCAATATAAGTAAAATACAGTATGTGAGAATAGTGAAAAGTGTTACACTCCTGACATTTTTTTTCTTTTTCGGCAATTGTAGTTAACTTTGTTTTATTTTCAGCAGACTAATAAACAATTGAAGTAGATATCAAAAAAACACTATAAAACTCATGTAAACAAATATATATGCCAATTAGTATGATGAGATTTGATATTATTTCTAAACAGTAACCAAGTCAATAACAATAAAGACATACAGTAATTTTTTTTTCATCTATGATAATTACTGTTAATTCTGCAATCATTTTTGTTATCACATTTTTTGAATGCAGTTCCTGCATATTCAATTTTCAGTTATTGTAGTCCTTAGTCTTTTAAAATACTAACCATTTGAATTCTGCCAAAACACTGCATTTTTGCTCTGCTTTTGCTTAATACCTAACCTTAATAAAGTAGTAGCTAGTAATACTAACAATTGTGAGAGAGAGAGACTAACCTGAGAGGTATGCTTACAGACAGTCTTATATATATAACTACTCAACAGAGCATAAAAATGAAACTCTAAGCGAGTTTGAAAATAAAATTCGCAGAAAAGGTTGGAAGATTCCAGGTACTTCTCCTGATGACTGCAATTGTTTCTTTTGGGCCAGCAGTGATCAGTTACATGCCCTTGGGATGACTCAACAAAGTCACACTCAGTTGAGAAGCAAAGTAATTCAATGCAAGATAAACAAAAAGGAACAATTAACATAGAAAACTTATACTTGTCTAAGTATTTCATTAAAAAATATTTTAAATCAATATTTTAAGATATTAAGTCTCTTGCCTGAATGTGTCAGGAGTGTAACACTCAAATGTTAAAGTGAAATTGTGCATTTTTTTGTGAAATAGATTCTTCATGGTCATTTTAATATTTTCCTATTGGTTAGGAACAGAAGCTTAATTAATATTTATAACCTTTATTTCCATTTATTTGCTAATTGTTTACATGTTAGAAACTTGTTTTCGGTTTTAAGTGTAACTTCATATCTTTGCTCTTAGAATTGTTCTCAAATGTAATAACCTATCAGTATGTTTTCAAACATCAGTGGTGTTCTGTACATGTGTTTCTTATGTTATTTTTACCTCCAATGTTTCTGTAAAGAACTATTATCATTTAAACAAGTTATGCTAGTCATGTCAGGAGTGTAACGCTTTTTTTATAAAATACAAGTTAAATTTGACTGCTTATTATTTTTTTTTTTGAGAGGTTGAAATATTTGGAAACTTTATTTTACATCAAAGTAATTATTAATACATACTAACAACTACTTTTTTATTTCTCTGCCCAATTTTCTCCAACTTTAGAAAAACTTGATGTTCTTACATTAAAGAAAATCAGACTTTAGTAACAAAACAATAGCATTTTTTTTTCTGTTGTAAAACTACTGGTAAAAAAATGGTATATTTTTTATCCGTACATCACTACTGTTACTAAAATATAACAACACACATGATTTAATTAACATTGGGAAGTATAGTGACACAATTTTATAAAGCATTGGTTTTGTTAATTTTTGTTAATAAGTTGAAATAAAATGTTGATTTATACAATTTGTGTTGTGTTAGATAAAATCCAATTACTCGGCATTAAACATCAATCAATATCACATGGTTTTAGGTGAAAAGTAAGTAGAAATATGAAATTTCAATTTTGACCCTATTTTCAAAGTTTTGCCTCATTATTTTTGACTTTACCCTAATCAATCATGGTACAAGTAGATTCTGAAATGTGTATGATGGGTTCTTCTTTTTCTACCTCTGGATCAGTACCATACAGCTGTTGTATCATGTGATCAGCCTGCACAGCATTTTTGTGGTCCTTGGATTCATTGTCAGTGTTTATTCTAGGAATTGAAAAATAGGGGTGATTTTCCCCCCTCTATTTCAAAAAAGGGGGCGATTTTCAAAATCAAGGGGTGCCAAAATAAACTGCCAATGTTAAATCGTCTGCATTAAGTTAACACTGAGGAGTGATTTATTTAAGCAGCAGAAGTTGTCCCCCCTTAATTTTTAAACGAAAACAAATTATTACAGAACTGCCGCGATTGATTATAAAGGGATTGACAATACAAACAATCGACCTATCTTTCACGTCTAGATCGTAGCCAAGCTAGGAATTGCCTCGTTTTTCTTGATTATTTACTACACTAAAATGGCGCCCAACTGTCAGATCGAGCACACTAGTTCCGGTTGGTACGGAACATTCCGTTAATTTCCGTCAACTCACGTAACCAGTACCATACGGTACTAAATTATTATAATTAGCTAACAGTTACCTCCCTTCGGTTTCCGATGTAAATGTAAACAAAACAACCAAATATAATGCGGGATGGAAGTTTTACGATTTGATTAACTTTTTTTATAGATGCGCGATTTTCACGCACATGATTTTGAATTGTGCGCGATCTGTGAAATACTAGCGAGAATCGCGCAATCGCGCGTCCTAGAATAGACACTGCATTGTGTTTTAAAAGGGTGGATCTCTGTAGATTTCCTGAAATAAAAAAAAACATGACATCCTTTAGCATTGTTATATTTCTTATTTGAAAAATAAAAATTGTTGTTTAAATATCTCTTGTGTTTAAAAATTTTTTACTACAGTACCGAACACAATTTCAGTGTATCAAATGAATCATAACACATTAACAACCGAAAATGGTTAAATTTAATCAGGCTAATAAATTGAAAGTTTTATGAAAGTAATTTCTAACACCGTTCTTGACCAAATTAATTTTTTAATTACGTTTTTGAGATACGCCAAATTGCAGAAGTGAGCATTGAGACATTTTGAGAGTGGGTAGGGAAAAAGATTTTTAAATGTAACTTTGATTCTCATAATAATTTCGTATTCGTAATTAGCGAGTGAAAAAAAAATCAAATCAAATCAACATCGATAGAATGTGTGAAAATAAAACGTCTTTAACTTCAAAAAGGAAAAAAAAATCAAAAGACAAAAACACCCTTCGCCGACTCGGCAAACTTTCGGATACATTCAAAACTTACCGATGCACACAATAAAGAATAAATGATTTTATCTAATTAAAGTAATTAAAAACAGATACCTACCACAGTTTACGTCAATAAACTATCCATTATCCGTACAAAACAAACAATTAATCCAATCACTTTGTTTTCACGCTTATCAAGGTCATAAATCAACACTCGCTAATTCGTCACGCGCCAGGTGCATTCGCATAATTTCCCCCATCGCTGTCATGTCAACCATTCAATTCAGGGGGCGGAGTTAAAATAAATAATCCAATCGTACGCCAGGAAAGTGAGAAAATGTCGGAAAATGGTCGTGGCGTACGTCACGGCTTACGATTTTCGCCGTATTCCTAAATTTTTGGAAGTCAGCGGTACGTCATTGATCTTAATTTTCGGCGTACAGATACGATTTTCGGGCGTAATTTACGGCCGTACGCCCGTTAACGGAAGCCCTGATGCAGATTTTAGAAAAAAGGTCAGAAAAATATTAAAATTACCATTTATGCTTTGATGCCATAAAATATTCATAACAGTTGAAGCTCTAGATACCATATAAATTTGGTATTTAAAAATGAGAATTTGAAAAAATTTCAACAGCTGTGTAGGGTGTGTAGACTTTGTTTTAAAAATGCAGTGATAAAAAGAGCGCTGGACAATAATTGGACCTGATCATTTTCCCCCTGGAGTGTTTGAAATATTTTTTTTCTTCTGATTGACAGACAATTATATAGTCGAGCAGAATTTGTAAAATTGTGTGCTATAAGCACTGTGCTATAAATTGACAAAAACAAATGGCCTGCATCACAAAATAATAGCACACTGATCCGAAAGCACAAAAAAGATTTGTCAATGTCGACAACATCTCATTATGATAATTGATTTATGAAGAGTAAATTTTACTAATTTTTTTTTTGGGGGGGGGGGGGGGGAATTCTATTTTAGGTGGGGGGAATGCCCCAAAATTTGACAAATGAGTATCCTGAAAAATAATTAAATCATTAATAACACCTTAGGTGTTGCACCCTTTTATTTGCATGTGTGCACTTAAGTTTTCCAAACAAGAAACCATTGTTTCAGACACTGACTATCAAGACCTTTTTTGCTTAAGTTAGTAAAGGAAATTGCTGGCAATGCAGGTCCATACTAACTGCTAGCCAAAAACTCTAGCTGCACATGCACTTTATAGTGCAGGGAACATTGCACTGTGGAAACAGTTACAGATATTTTAGTTTCTCAATCTTTTTTTAAAAAAAATTGCATACTTAAGTTCAACAATATAGATTTAATATTTTACAAAGTAATATTTGTAGTATTTATATTTTTTCTTCTTTATATTTTGGATGGTATTTTACAAAAAAATATGTACAAGATATATTTACTTTGTTAATTGTTGGTATGCATGAAAACAACATATATCTGTTTTGACATTGGATATCTTTTAATTACATGTATGTACAAAAATTTCAAATAGCCTTTCAAAAACAAATTTGGCTGTAAAATACTCTTTTCTGGAGCTCTGGACTTTGCATAAATGTATAATTGGGTTTTAAAGGTACAAATGAATTTATATGCATCTAGTTTTATCTTGTATTGTTGGTAGGATAATGAATTAATCTTGATATTTTGTCCTGTACCTGCATCATTTAAAGATATTTACCTTGCTCATCTTTGGGTAAAATTGTTTTATTCCAGAAATTTTTATTGAAATCTAGGAAACTTAATAAATATGGCTAATTTGAATATGGGAATGCAAATATAAATTACTATATTTGTAAAACTGCATTCCCAGTTATTGGTCAAGTTAATTCAGTTTTTGTTTCTGAAAAAAAAACAAAACAAACTCCCATTTTTAGCTAGATTTAAAAAAACAATAAAAGCGGTATTGTTTTATTTTATGACACTATGTACATGTATTCATACAGTGTTTACCTATATTGTTCATATATAATATTGTCAAGTTTAAAATGCCACATATCTTTTCTGTGTGTACTCAAAAGATTTTTATTCTACATTAAAAAAAAGAAGACTTCGTAGCAATTATCAGTACATTTTAAAATATCAAATTTCAGCATTATATATTTATTTAAATTAATATACTTGCTCAGTTGAAAATTTCAAAAAGTTTTTATTGATATGTTTGTTGTTTTAATTTCAGTAAGGAATTAATTACTTATATCTTCTTCCTGATATTACACTAAGAATTTTCTGCTTCATAGCTTCTTTACATTGTATATAGATATAGTATATTATAGCAAATGTATTTACATGATTTCCATGTAATAACTGGCCATTGATTATTTTATTGTTCAGTATTGAACCATTTTCTGAAAGGGTGTCAGAGGTTGAAGTTACATGCTATGAGGAAAACAGATGAAATCCTGTTGAATAGAATATTCACGCTTCAAAAGTAGCGTACACAAATATTTTTGAAAAAAATGCACATAATCATATAACAGTGGCCTGTTGCAATGTTAGATGCTGTTAATGCTAGTTTCTTCAAACTAGTTGACAGAAGGTTGGTGGTTATACTTGGGTGCCCACTTTTGACTGAAATAGTAAGCAGGGCCAGACCTATACTAAGTTTGTTCAAATTATAGCCCTTTGGTCAAAATTGACCCTGTTTCAGTGGGCCCTTATATGTATATAGTAAAAGAAAACTCATTTTCTATTACACTATAGAGGCTTTAGCTTAGATATTTGGTATTAAACTTTGTTTGTTTGACCTCTGCAAAAATTGTTCAAACTGAAATAATGCATATAGAGTAGCACTTAAGGTCTTCCTTCAACATTAAAAGTTGAAAGTGTTGTTGTGACTTAAAAACCCAACCAAGTAGATAAATTATGAAATGTTAATGTGAGTGAGTTATGATTTACTTATAGATGCTCTTGACAAAAGCAACAATACAATGGCAAATGCAATAAATGGAGAAGTTGAGGAGGATGAGGAGAGGAAACCACAGGAGGAAGATATGGAGGAAGGTAAATTCAAAGTGTTTTTCATTCAATATTTCATTGTTTGTTGTAAGGCCTAAAAAAAAAATTGATGTGTTTCTGGTGGCGAGGCAAAAAAAAGTAGGGTCGGTAGGTCGGACTTTTTTTTTTTTTTTTTTTTTTTTTTTTAGTCAATCAACGATTGTAGATATGTCAGATACGGATTATATGTACTTTAAATTATATTCTATAGCATATAAAAGTACTTAAAAACTTAAAATGTTAGACTACCAAACCTAGTCTTCAATATTTTATTTTGAAATAAATTTTACCAATGGCATGACTCGACTTTCGTTTTCATTTTTTTTATTCTTACCGAACAACTGGCTTCAATTTTAATATTATCACTTTTAACATGACCATGCACGTCTGAAAAATGTTTTGAGCTGTTTTGCTGTGGTCTATTAATTTGATTTCCTGTTTTGCCAAACTATGATCGTATTTTTAAAGAAAATCGCCAGCAGTGACACTTCGGCTGCTTGTTGTGCCGCCATATTAGCCGGTGCGCGTTAATACGTAATTGGAACCCGAATCGTCTGTGCCTCACATCGTTGTCGACTCGCAATACTAAAACCCGTCTCCGGTACGGTCGGTACGGGCGCCATTTTTTTTTTGTACATCGATAAAAAACTTTGGGTCGGCGCTAAAAAATAGGGTCGGTCGGGCCATCGGAAACACAACATTTTTTTTTTTAGGCCTAAATGTTTTAAGAAAATGGCGGTCAACATTGAAACAAAATTTATTTAGATATTTGTAACAACCAATTCAGGTTCAAATTATTTCCCTCCACCTCAAGCTCTTTTGAACTATAAGGAGTTCAGATTATTTTTACCTCTATTTTGTTCAATTTTTCATGAATAATCGTGATATGAAAAACACATTTATGCGTGACCTTTATTTTGATATCAGCTATATTTTTGCTAATATTCTGAAGTTATTATTATTGACATTAGTTCTGCAATCCTTAACAGTGATAGCAGCTATGCTAGTAGTGCTAGATTTAATTGTCAGTGCTCCCATTAATGAGCCAAAATGTATGGTCTAATGAGGCTAATCTGTTTGCTGCTGAAATACACAATGGACTGTTCTATATTTAAAGCAGGGGAAGAACATTTTTTATTAAATCAGCAAGATACAAAATGGTTAAAATAACTTTATGCTTCCATTCTATCTACTAGACCTGAGAAATGCTTCTGAAATATCTACATGGGAATATTGTATCTTTAACTTATTAACTGTTGTTGTTTTTGTAGATGACAGCAAAGCTGAAGCAACATTCAGTTATACAGTTGAGAATATCAGCAAGCTGAAAGATTCAATGCTTAGTCCCAAGTGTATGGTTCGAAACCTGCCATGGTATGTAATATTACACAAACCTTTACCATCTGCTTTAAATGTCTTAAAATAACTTATTGTCAGTGTCTAACAGTGGGTTAATAATTCTGCCTTTTTTATGAAGAATGACATGTATTACATGGTAAATGACATGCCAACACCATAGAAATGTTACATTGTGCAAATTGATTGATATAGTGCTCTTCTAATGCAAATGTTTACTTTATTATTTATTATGTCAATAATAGACAAAGGTCTATATTTCTCAGTATGAATATTTACTTTATCTGTTATTGTGTTTTATATCAATAGTATAGGCATATGCCCTCATTAAGCTATTTTTTTTCTTTGTAAAATATAACTATTATAAATAGATACTGGTATTGGAAAAAATCATGAGATGTTTGTTTAAAAATAGAAAAAAAGTCTTTGGCAAGTTGCATTTGTTTGGTTTTTTTTGACAATTTTTTTTTTTAATTTTAGGAAAATCATGGCAATGCAGCGAATCAGTCACAATGCTGATAAATATAACCAGAAGAGCTTGGGATTCTTTCTTCAGTGCAATGCCGAATCAGACTCAACGTAAGTGATAATGTCCCTTGAGTTGATCTTGGAGAAGTTGTAATTAATTGATTCCTATTAAAGCAGAAGATATTCAATACACCTGCTTTTTTCAAACGTTTTGTGTTAATTAGATCATATTGATTATAAATACTCAAATTCTTTAAAAGAAAAGCGCCTACATATTTGACGAATTGTACCAAATTTCTTTGTAATGGAAGATTTAATCTCACTGATAATTCATGATGTAAAGGTCATTGTTTAATTATGTTCGTCACCATGGCAACCACTAACTGTTTAGATCACCCTCTTTAGTCAAGATGTAGAGATCTTGATGATGTTTTCAAAGAGAGCACAGTATTTTTTACAGATAAAATATTTCTGCAGAAATATGAAATGCCATTTTTGAAATTTATTTGACATTATATAGTTATGCCCCTCCTGTTTAAATTCATTAAACAATGTTGATACAAAATCTTGAGATGATTTCCTCAAAGAATATAATTCTTTAACTTTGGAATTATCCATAATTAATGAGGTAATTTACCTTTTACCTGCTGAAATTATTTAATTGACTTGACCAGCTTCCATTTTGGAACTGTTCATTATCAATTTTGGGGGATATTAAGATGAAAATTTAATTAGTTTATTAGCCAAAAATATTGAGCCTGGTCAGACTGCATTGGTGGCAAAGGCTAATTTATTCAGGCTTCAGCAGTGTTAGGGTTAATAGGTCATTATTGCAATACAAGTTTGCTTTCTACATTTTGTATGTAAATGATCTTTTCTAGTTTAAAAAATGAATATTTAGTTGTATGAAAACAAAATTAAGCAAGTACATTTTTTAGAGGGGAACATTTAAACAAATGGGTTAGACTTAAGTTCGCAACAACTTTGCCAACAAAAAATACAAACTTCAATTATCTGTAGACCTAATTTTAAGGCAAATCGAGTTGAGGAAAACCCATTAGAACTGATATACTCAGTTTTGATATGTTACATTTAAATGTTTTTCAAAAAAAATGTTAAAATGAACAAAGATTTCATTGGAAAGGAGCTTAATTTAATCCATGTATACTAAATCATACAATGATAGATTTAGCATAAGCTGGTAGAATATTTGATGTAGTGATGCTATACACATGTATTGATTGATTTTAGGTCATGGTCATGCAACGCCGCTGCTGAACTGAGGATTATCAATCAGAAAAAAGAAGGAGAGGATTTTGTTCGCAGTAAGCTATTTATTGGCTTAAATATTTCCATTTATTAAATAAGTTCCATGTCTATGCAATGTTATTGGTATTGTTAGATCATACGATGTGTGAATAGTTTATTATTAATGAGAATGATGCAAGATTTAGGATAGATTACTAACACGTGATATAGCAAATGTCATAATATACAAATTGATTAAATGCTTCCTGATTTTATATATTTTATTCTTGGAAGAAATGTAGACAATTTTACATTGTAGGAAATGAAAAATTACACTGTACACATACACATTGAAAATTTCGGTTTAGAAATGTACTGTTCACAATAAGTATTTTTCTGTGCACATGAAAAATTAAACTGTGCACAATGAAAAATTACTTTGTACACAATGAAAAAAATACACTGTAGAGTAACACTGTATGCAATGAAAAATAATACTTGTACACAATGAAAAATTACACTGTACACAATGAAAAAATACAGTGTAGACAGTTAGCAACTTTACATCAAATTATTTTGTTTTTAATGCTAAAAGTGAGAGTAAAATCAATGGGAACTTTGTATGGCATAATTTTTAAAGTAGAATTATTGTCATTTTTAATAGCAGTAAACTTAAGAGGAAGAGAGTCCATTTAAATGTGTGTAGTGTGGTATTCTATTGATCAGTATTATTGTATTCTGATATAATATAGGTGGATTTTGTCCTGACTGTTTGTCCATCAGTCTGTCTGTCTGTCTACTTACATAATGATAGTAAATTTGGCTAGAGTACTGATACATGTTACTTTGATTCTATCAATTCAGTAAAAAGAAAATGACATGTGGTTAAAATGTTTTTACATAGTAAAAAAACACAGTTTGGAAACAAAGGATGTAAGGTACCCACTTGTTATGTGAAAAATTCTTTAACACTTTCATGTATTAAACTGTTTATCATTTTGTTTATTTCTTCAGAAATTCAGCATCTTTTCTACAGTAAAGAAAATGATTGGGGTTACAGTAATTTTTTACCATGGAATGTAAGTTTGATTTAGTTATTTAACACACTGAGTGTAGTGATGTAAAAAAAACAAACTACCCAACAACTTGTATTTTTCTCGGAAAAAGCTCATCATTTTGTGCAGTCTGACTAGACTCTATACTGTTGACTGCTTGTATTTTTATTTTGAAATCTGTTTAACACTTATAATGTGCTCAATATTGAATGAAAGGCAAGTGCACTGTGCAAAATTTGGTGTGATATATTTATAATATACAATGTATTAGATATCACAATATTTTACCTGGCAATGTCACATTTGAATGTCTTTGTATTAGGAAGTATTGTAATACAATTAATTTTTAAAACACAAACTTAAAGGCTTTTATTTAACCACATTAATAATCAAGAACCTATAATGGATATTTTCATTTATCAATTATTAAAATTTCTTCAATTCATTTGTTAATACATTTTCATTTGTTAATACATTATGAAAACAAGATAACAATGTTGGTTTGCTATTACAATGAGCATTTAATAATATATCGCATATACTGAATTCTGCAATAATTGTTCATATATAATCGTATTGTTTTTCTGGGCAATACCGAGACTTCTGCTTTAGAAATCTTTCTTATGGTTTCTTTTTCTACAATAAAAAGTAGAAATTAAAGTGACAATGAGTATTTGTAGCTTAGTTTCATGTTGAATACTACTTTGACCATGATTTCGTCAACATTCAATTTATATGAAAAGCATATAGATCTTAAACTTTAAAGAAGGAAGGTAAAACAAAAGTAACGACACAAGAGAAAATGCAAAATGTTTTCTAATGTGAATTTTGTATTGCTGAGATGCAATAAGATTTATCTTCAGAAAATCTAGAAGTAATTGCTGTGCATAAAATCATTAAAACTTGAGAAGTACATTGATTTGATGCAAGTGTTTTTGGTTAAAAACCTTATTTGAAAGTGTTATCAATTTTTAGCTCACCTGTCACATAGTGACAGGGTGAGCTTTTGTGATCGCTTTTCGTCCGGCGTCCGTCCGGCGTCCGTAAACTTTTATATTAAATGACATCTCCTCATAAACCACTAAGCCAACTTCATCCAAACTTCACAGGAATGTTCCTTTGGTGGTCACCTTTGAAAATTGTTCAAAGAATTTAATTCCATGCAGAACTCTGGTTGCCATGGCAACCAAATGAAAAAAATTTAAAAATCTTCTTCTGAAAAACCCAAAGAGGTAGAGCTTAGATATTTGGCATGAAACATCTTCTAGTGAGTGTCTACCAAGTTTGTTCAAATAAAAGCCCTGGGGTCAAAATTGGCCCCGCCCCAGGGGGTCATTGATTTTCCCTATATGCATATAGTAAAAACTTAAAAAATCTTCTGTTAAAGAACCCAAAGAGCTAGAGCTAAGAAATTTAGCATGAAACATCTTCTAATGGGTGTCTACCAAGTTTGTTCAAATAAAAGCCCTGGGGTCAAAATTGGCCCCGCCTCAGGGTGTCATTGATTTTCCTTATATGCATATACACATGTAGTTAAAAACTTAAAAATCTTCTTTTAAAGAACCCAAAGAGCTAGAGCTAAGATATTTAGCATGAAACATGTTCTGATGGATGTCTACCAAGTTTGTTCAAATAAGAGCCCTGGGGTCAAAATTGGCCCCGCCCCAGGGGGTCATTGATTTTCCTTATATGTGTATAGCAAAACCTTAAAAAATCTTCTTTGAAAAAAACCAAATAGCTAGAGTTTAGATACTAAGCATGAAACATCTTCTAGTGAGTGTCTACCAACTTTGTTCAAATAAAAGCCCTGGGGTCAAAATTGGCCCCGCCCCGGGGGTCATTGATTTTCCTTATATGTGTATAACAAAAACTTAAAAAATCTTCTTTGAAAAAACTCAAATAGCTAGAGTTTAGATATTAAGCACGAAGCATCTTCTAGTGAGTGTCTACAAAGTTTGTTCAAATAAAAGCCCTGGGGTCAAAATTGGCCCCACCCCAGGAGACATTGATTTTCCTTATATGTGTATTGCAAAGACTTAAAAATCTTCTTTGAAAAAACCCAAATAGCTAGAGTTTAGATATTAAGCATGAAACATCTTCTAGTAAGTGTCTACAAAGTTTGTTCAAATAAAAGCCCTGGGGTCAAAATTGGCCCCACCCCGGGGGTCATTGATTTTCCTTATATGTGTATAGCAAAAACTTAAAAATCTTCTTCGAAAAATCCGAATAGCTAGAGTTCAGATATTAAGCATGAAACATTTTCTAGTAAGTGTCTACAAAGATTGTTCAAATAAAAGCCTTTGGGTCCAAACTGGCCCTGCCCCAGGTGTATCATTGTTTTTAACTATATGTTTAAAGAAAAAACTTGACCAGTCAGACCTTAGATGTTTAGCATGAAACATCTTCTAATGGGTGTCTACCAAGTTTGTTCAAATAAAAGCCTTGGGGTTTAAACTGGCCCCTCTACGGGGGCCTATATACAGGTGAGCGACTTCAGGGCCATCATGGCCCTCTTGTTAACTATTTCGTTGTATGATTGATCATGCATTTAAATAATTAATGACCATTGAGATTGTTTAAAAAGCTAATTGCTGTATTATAACTTGATGTATTTCATCTAATGCAGTCCTCATAAAACTTCAAACTAGTTAAGCATTATTTCAACCACCCTGCTGGAATTAAGGAAATTGGGCAAGTTCTTAGCATGAGCATACTATTTTAATATATGATTATTGTTTTACAGGAGTTGTTAGATCCAGATAAAGGTTTTTGTAAAGATGATAAAGTTATTCTGCAAGTGCATGTGATAGCTGATGCTCCACACGGTGTTAGGTAGGTTATGTTTTGATAAATCTTATGTTTCACTGTACAAGAAAGATGTGGCTTAACATATGGATTCAGGGACAGCAAAATCAAATGTCTGTATTGCCCATGTTGTCCCACAGCCAGTAAGGACAAATGGAAACTTTCAAGAATTTACTATATAAATATAATAAGGACAAGATAAAACAGACAAGGAAGTCAAGATCAGGTTTTGCCAGCCCTGGGGTTGCTGCATAAAATATAAATTTTATATCCAGGTGTTTTCATTTTTTGGGAAAGGGTCTTGGTCTACCCAATCAGAAAACTTTCGAGTTGGAAACATGGTTAATTAGGATAAAATGAGTTAAAGCAAATGACAAATTTTAGATATTGACATGATTTAAGGGAAAATAAATTGGAATATCCAGTAATTAGGCAAGCATCTGGTTTATACTAGACTCCACTAAAGATGAAAAAAAACAACAACTTATGTATCTAGGCAATAACTGTTTATTTCATAGCATATGAATAAAATAAATGAAAATTTATCTTTAGTTTGAGTCTGATAGACATGTATTCAGAATTAATACTGTATTTAGGATGAAAAAGTATGATGAAAAAACAACTTGAAAATACAATTTTTGAATTTTTTCAGTTGGGACTCAAAAGAAACACACAGGGTTTGTTGGTTTAAAGAATTCAAGGTGCAACATGTTATATTGAATTCACTTCTACATT